GAATGCATCATTCCAAGTAGAAATTTGGGTCCTTTCCATAAGTTTATTAACATGAACTGGACCAACAGATAGAGTCCCTCTACCCTTAAAGGAATTTAGTTATTCACTATCTAAAATATCAATCAAAGATCTGAAGTTTAGTTATAAAAAACAGTGATGAGAACTTTGGAAAAGACCACAAGTTCGAGACCAGATGATGAGCTTAAACTCTGCAGGAATAAACTGCAAGAATTTGTTTCTTTATGTCCTCAATCAGGAAGATGAGGAGGCACGTACATAATCTCTACAGGGATTGTCAGCAATGTTCTTCACCTTGGACATGCTGGACAGCCCTACAGTCATCCTTAATTGTGGAATGTGTGTATACACACGCTATCCAAAATAAACTACACCCAAAGTTTTTCATAAGCTACACAGTGAATAGCACTTCTGACAAAAAACAATTCCATGACTTCTGTCACATACCTAATACTAATGTGATGTCGCAAAATTTCATACAAATACATAAAGCCATCAATCATTCATTTAAAGTGTTAAAGTATTAAAATACGTTTATATCTGTTTGCAACTAATATGCAACTCACAGTTATTTATGCATTAAAGGAATGCATAAATACTTAACAGTAAGTTACTCTTTAGATGTGCCTTTTTGCCATGAAGGGAACAATATTTATTCTTTTATGGATGGAAGCACTTTTGTTACTGACTTGACCCACTGTTTTCCAGTAGTGATGCAGTACTGTGTGGCTTTGATTTTCATTTCAAGGTGGTAGAATGCAAACCAAATCTGTAAAGCAGGACAGTAGCTATTTGCTGCAAGATTAACAAATCTATTCAGCCTACTGCCAGACTAGCATTTCCATTTGATGGTAAAAAATCATCACTGGTTACCTGTAACAAAATTCCAGTACCTTTTCATTGAAGTGAATTTCAACAAATTTCCCGAAACGACTGCTGTTGTTGTTACGAACAGTCTTTGCATTTCCAAAGGCTTCTAATAGGGGATTTGCTGTTTAAAAAATTAAAATTAGTATTTTTGCAGTGTTAAAATTTGATCAACAAACTAACAAAGACAGAACAAATACATCGTAATTATCCAGTGAACTTAATGGGAAGAAGGTATGAAAATTAAAGGAAAAATATTACCTATAAGGAATAATCTATTTTGCAAATTGTACTGGATATACTGTGGTGGAACTTACAATGAAATACTTAAATATCACATAACACCGCAAAGTGTTATTTTCTCTTATTATATTATTTCTGTAAGAAATTCAGAGATGAACACTGAAAATTATTTGGTGATGTTGTTCTACAGCAAGTAGGTAAATAACTGATACATAAACTATATGAGACCACACATAATTTGACACTTCCCAATGAGTTGTTATTATAAAATCTAAACTACCCACTTATTCCACAGACAAAAATGCCACTTAAATGTCATGCATGCAACATGTTAGATTGATTAGGGAATAAAAAAAACTTATTAAAAGAGCGTGTTGATTTCAAAAACAACTTAAAAATGCCCTTTCAAATTAGGTCAATTAAGTGATTGAGTGATTTTATTTTTCCTAGCTGCTGTCTTCAAGCACCTTAAAGCTCATACAGAAAGAGTGGCAGCAATCTAATGCATATATACAAAACATCATGCACAGTTTAAGGAGTCTGAAAATGCTTATGAGCTGTGAAACACAAGGCCTCTGAAAGACCGCATTGTACTAGATCTGAAGATCAAAGAAAACCGATTTACTGAACTGCACTAACAATAAACCATTGAAAAGATCTGCAAGATTTTTTGAGACTTCTAGCTCAAAAATATGGCATTGGAAACTGAGCAAAAACTCAGATTTAAAACTCCACTGACAACCATCTACAAATCTGCTCCTATAAAAATTAAAGAATGAAGGAGTAACTACAACTGTTGGATAAAGTATGGATAATATTGCATCATTTAGTAGGACAACATGAACATTAACTTTTTTGGTTTGGCTGGATTTTCTTTTTTTTTAAATATTCAATGCTCATTAAAATGCAAATCTGACTTTCAAAACTGACTTCTTAAGAGATTTTTGATAATTATTCAGGTATTTTACATAATATTAACAGTTTTAAAGAAAAGATTATGAATTAAAACAAATTGCAAGAGGTCTGTCAGATAGGTTAAAGGTTCCTCTAGTAATACATATGCTGTAAGCATGCTCATTAAAATTGTGCCTAAAAAACTTAAAAATTCATGCATCAGATGGTGTTTTAGATTTTAAAAAAACCAAACTCTTCTAAGAATACCTACAAGTACCAATCAATTTTATGGCATACTGCATCAGGCATTATCCAACTCTTGGCCACTTTCTGAGTTCCTTTAGCACACAGTGGATTTCGCTAAGGAATTGGTTTAAGCAAACCTACAGCAATGAGAGATTAAAGCCTGCAGCACTTCTCTTGAATAATCGAGTGGCTCAAATTTGAACACAGACAAATGTAAAGCAAAAGAAAAAATTTCTGGTTTAAGAAAAAGACAGAGTAATGAAATTCTGAAATAAATCTACTATATGCTATAGAAGACTAAAACTGACATGTGAAGCATTATTAGATTGGATGAGGGTTGTTTGGTTTTAAGATATTTATATTTTCTCAAAAAGTTATTTTCTGTTCAATTAGGAGGTGCATGCAACATTAAAGACGCTCAGCTGGACGATCAACACAGTCTCTTCTGACCTTGTTTGGGAGTCGATTATAAAGGCAGACACAATGAAAGTCTTAATCCGAATTATGTGCTGACAAGAAAGAAGTAACAGAAAAATAACCCAGAACCATCATTTAAAAGAACTTCCCTGCTTTATCTGACTTTTTGAGAACTTTATGATGAGGAGGAGGAATTACTCTTTTCTGGTACTCACAGATAGTAATGAGAACATAATCTTGTCCTTGCAGATTGCATACAGCTTAAAATCCAATCTTGGGTACACACATTGTGAAGTTCAACTCAATCACACACTTAAACATTTTCTAGATCAAGGACTGTATGACACTATACTAAATAAAAATAAAGTGAATCACAAATAAAAAAACATGTTTTCAAAATTTAGGATCAAGGTAAACTACCTGCAAATTATGCCCTAGGAAATCTGATAGTATTTCCACCCTAGCTTTTATTTAGTTGCTATTGACTGACATTTCAAATTTGAAAAAAAAAGTTAAAACATTGGAACCTTTAATTCAATGAAAGACAGTTCAGTACCTTCTACAATTCTATCATCAATATCTTGGCCAGTACCATAAGATTCTGTCAAATACCTGTAAAGCAAAATAAAAATATTAGTATCTTTCATGTGTCAGGTTACCTCAATTCAACAGCGTGCATGGCTGTGCACCGTAATTACTAACCATTTAATAAAGGGAAAGCATATTGAATTAAAGTTCCAAATACCTGTATCTTTTAAAATAAATGCAGTTTGACTTTTGTTTTTTTGTTAAAAAAAAAAAAAATCTTGCGGACACCAGATTTTTTTCTTCAATACTTCAAGACACGTTAGAAATTTCTTTTAGACATGCATATGTCTATGCAAATTACACTTTTACACAGATATAATAAAACTATTACTGTAATATCTGTACTTATTAATAATCTTAGTAAATGCATAAGTTTTCATGTGTATTTAGTGAATTAAACACTTGTTTCCATACATACAGTTGCTGCGTTCATAACTATTAGCGTTAATACTAATACTTTTAGCAGTGTTCCAGTACCTGAAGGAGGCCTACAGGAAAGCTGGAGAGGGACTGTTTACAAGGGCTTGTAGTCTTAGGACAAGGGGTAGTGGCCTTCAGCTGAAGGAGGGTAGATTTAGAATAGATGTTAGAAAGAAATTCTTTCCTGTGAGGGTGGTAAGGAACTGGAACAGGTTGCCCAGAGAAGCTGTGGATGCCCCATCCCTGGAAGTGTTCAAGGCCAGGTTGGATGGGACTTTGGGCAACCTGGTCTAGTGGAGGGTGTCCCTGCCCACGGCAGGGGGGTTGGAACTAGGTGACCTTTAAGGTCCGTTCCAACCTAAAACCGTTCTGTGATTTATGACTAAAAATCCCACACGGAGACAGTGAGGTAGGAAATTGCAGATGCATAATTAAGGTAAGATTCAATTTAGCAACTGAAGAAAGAATTTGAAAATAAATCCAGTAAGTTATTTTTTTCCTGCGCACAGGGCATGCTTTCTGGAAATTCACAAGTAAATCTGGGACGAGTTAAAAACAGTTCTTGTAAATAGGGCCTTCCAAAAAAACTTTAGGAGCTGTATTAGTACCTTTTGCTTTCTGATCACAAAAGGGAAAAAACCTTCCTGCTTTTAAAACTCAGTGTTTTGTACACGGACTCTATGGGGCAGGTGGTGGGGAGAAGCAACAGCAATGATATTTGTCTGCTGTGTAATCAGAACTTCCTTTGCTGAGAAGTGGAAGAAAAACCTCCTCTGAGAGCATTCCTCAGTGCCTGCTGCCTTTTTTTACTCTTAGCATAAGGACCAAAGTTAGGATGTCCCCCATAAGAAATCATTACCAGCACCTTGCAGTAATTCTTACAGCTATCTATCAGAGGCAGCGAAGAGCAGTATCAAGGACAGCCAGCCAGCCAAGACAATTCTTCATGGGATGTGGAATACTGCTACTGTACATAAATACTAGAGAATACATGATGTCAGGGAAAAGGGAATTAAAGATTTATACAGGGAAACAAGGACAGGGAGGGAAGGGAGAGTATTCACACTGCCTGCACGGTGCTTCCCTGGATAATCAGGCCACCTATGATATAGGGGAATTTAATGGAGCAGTGCTCTCCAGTTACAGTGTTCCAGAGTGATATAAAGCAGTTAAAGTATAACACAAATATGGTGAAAAACATTGAAGAAATCATATAAGAGGGAGCAAGGCTGATATGTATCAGCAATATGGCCTCCATGTAGTTTAATATGCTTAATTTAGTATCTGTCATACGTGAACATCAATAAACAAATCCCATTATTCAATCTTGTTCAGTAAACTGAATAGGTTAAAGTATATTACAGAATCTCTGCAGTCGTCTCAAAATCAAGAGTTAAAAACCCTGGATACTCAACCAAACTAAAAAACACTAAGACAGGGAAAATGAAGAAATGCACATCTATGGTAAAACCAACAGTGTCTTGCAAGATACAGTTAAGATGCCTAGTTCCGTTTTTATCTACCACAATACCAGATGTGCAATACCAAAATGGCTGCATCATAAACCATAATAACTACATGATGTCACTACAACTGAGTTAAGGTTTCTGTGAGTATGTAGCAGTTTCTGTATTTTATCATGTCAGCATTTAAGTTTAACCCAATTAATTTCTTGTATTAGAGTGCACATAGAAGCATATACGTACCCCTACTGAAAGGTGTCTTAAACCTACTCATTACCTTACAATTTGCTCTGTCTGTATGTCAACCTAATGCATCAACACAAGAGATTCACAGAGTAATTTTGGTCCAAAAGCACAAACCTCAAAACAAATTTAGTGTTCTCTGTCTTGCCAGCTCCCGATTCTCCAGAGACTATGATGGACTGACTCATCTTGAGCACTTTCATGTCACGGAATGCTTTATCAGCTTAAAAAGAAGAATACATTAAACATGACAAAAATTAACACTCAGGGGAATTGCAAGCACAATGTTAAGCTACAATGCAAAAATTAAAATGTAACATTTTTTCAGGAATAAAAAGTAAATCTTTAAAATTGAGTGCATTACAACTTATTAAAGTCTGTTTCCCTTTATATTATAGCTGCTCACCCTCCAACACTGACATGTAAGAGCTTAAAGTCTTTGAAAACAAAGACCTAGTCAACTATATTCAGGACAATACAAACCAAAACCAACCACCTAGAAGTAAATCTCTTGAATTAAACGTATTTACAAAATAGTAACCAATCTTACTTTAACATGTTTTTTTAAGGGAAACTTTCAGTTGTACTTTGTAACATCTCAGAAAAGGAAACTTGGGAAAATGTGAGTAGTTTTCTTGTTATCCAACAGCTACTGAAACCTCAGCTATTTATACGTTTGATTACAATACAAAATGCAAGACAGTGAGAAGGCTTTTACCAAGTCAAATGTTGATTTGTAGTTTCCACATTTTTTTTCCTTAAAAAAAGTGACTGAAATCAGGTTTACCACGTTAATACCATTTCAGTGCACTTTCTGCCTGTAACACAAGCATATAAAAAGAAACAGTGCGTGTGCTCTGGCAATGTAATAAAAGGCAAAGGAAATCACTAGACTGAAAGACAGTGCCAATCATAATTATGTCATCTGTCGCTTGTCAAATCTGAATTTATTTTTTTTTAACGGCTGTAAAAAATATTTAAACTGCTTAGATATAAAACACTGGAGTTGCAGAATAATCATAACAGGGTTGCTAATTTGCAATTTCTTCAAACTGCATATCAAGGATGAGAAGATTTGCAATTTTAGCAGTCAGTGTTTTTATTTTATAATACTTTAAAATAAATTAATTACTGTTGGTGGCAATTTATAGATAACTGCAAAGTATTTAATGTTTCTTTCGTAAAAGATAAATAGAGGCTCAATACATACCAATAGCAAAAACGTGTGGTGGCAATGTTCCAAGTGATCTACCCTGGTACTTTTTAATAGTGTCTGAAGAATAAAACTTAGGTATATCAAAATACGGATTCACTGCAATAAGAATGTTGGCTACATAGGTCTGTGAAGAAAACAATTAACAGCAAACTATTAGCCAGCATCCAGCCAAGTAGTTAACGGCAGTTTTCTATTACTGTTGAAGACTATAGCCCAAGTATAACAATTACATTTACAATTCTCTTCAGCTAATGCAGATACAAGAAGGGATGTATTTCCAGAGTTCCTCTAATTATCTTCTCAGGACTTCTATGAAATTCTCCTTCTCTCAGGAGAATTTCCTAACCACTGAGCTGCGGAGCATGTCCTGAATTTGACCTTTCTCCCAATCTCCTTTTAAATTATCTCCTATTGTCCTAGTTACTGGATGAAGGATAGGACGCCACAACCTCCTCCTCAGAAGTGAATAAACTAAGCTCCTGGCTAGCATAACGCACTCTCCTCCAGTGAGGAGGATAATTTTTCAATATCTAGTGGAAGCAACTCAGAC